CCGCTGACTCGTGCACCGCCGTCGACCTCGTCGTCGACGCCACCTTCGTTTCGTACCGGTCGAGGAGATACAGGACGGGAAGGGTGTTCTGTCGTCCACTGCGCCCGGATGCCCAACTCAGCGATCGCCCAGGGGATTGACCCGTACTCGCCATCCTCATGGCGTTTCCTCGCATCAGCCAAACGTGCCTCCAAGGTGTCCGCTACGCCCACATTAGCTACAAAATCAACCATGGCAACTAACGCTGCTGCCGGCCTACGAACAACTTAGTAGGTGCAAAAGTCGGCTCCTATCTGAAGATCGCGTGTTCGATCCACGCTGACCGCACCATGTGGAGATTCACTCTACAACTGTAGTGAGCTAGACTACGGGGGTTGGCACGAACTACTAGGAGTGATCGTAGCTTTGCTTAGTTCCTTAGTGTTTGCACATACATGGGGGAAATCGGCAAGGGTTTCACTAGGCAAAGTTGGAATTACAGAATGATTGAACAAGCAACGACAGAATTGACTAGATCAGGCACCTAGCAACCCTACAGCTAGCCTGGTTGACCGCCAGCACAGCTTGGTCGACCGCATGCCAGCGTTGCGTAGAGGAGCCGCGCCAGCACTGCGGAAAGGCGACCTGCCAACAGAGCAGGTCGACGGCGTGCCAACGTTGCAGCAGAGCGGCTGTCCAGCGTTGCCCCGTAGAACACAGCCGTGCGCACGCTCACAGGTGCGCGCAGACGATTAGCCCGACTTGCATTGCTGTGCATCTGTCGGCTGTTGTCTGCGCCTGACGAGCCACATCGACTTCGGGATACCAGCCCGAAGTCGCCTTCGCCATCGCGACCTCGACGACGTTCGCGTGCCTTCGCAGAACTCGTCGAACAGGTTACCCGGTCGACCTGGTCGACCACCAAGTGCTCCGGTCGACCACCAGTGCCTCTGGTCGACCACTGGGTCCCTCTGGTCGACCACCAGGTCCCTCTGGTTGACCAGAGCTCCCGTCGAGCTACCCCCTGGTCGACGGACCCCTTCCGTCGACCAGAACTGGCAGATGATGTCGCCGAGCTCCCCTCGTCGACCGCTGCTCAGTTGTCAGGTCGACGGACTGCTCCGTTGACCTCCTGGTCGAACTGCCCCTCCTGGTCGACGGCCCACCCGTCGCCCAAACCAGTCAGTTGCAGCTGTCGAGCTCCCTGGTCGACAGCAACACCATGTCAGAATGTGTTTGCTGTCTAGCCTGCAGTAGGGTACTCTGTAGTGAGTACAACCCAATTTAGGGTTTGCTATTTGTATCCCAACTCTTGCTAGTGCAACCCTCTTCTTCCATTTCTCTTTCATGTACCCTAAAACCTAGCTATGGCTCCTAAGTTCTAGCTAAGATTCTGACATGCTATCAGAGCGAGTACGCTCTTGGCCTGTGGGCCCACCTGCTTCCGCTGCTATCCTGTCTGTAGCGCGCCCCGTGGCGCGCGACGTTTTTTCTTCCCGCCACGCGCTCGGGGCGCATGGCGGTTTTCTGCTCGTCGCGCCGCCCTGCTGGTCGCGTTCTGCTCTGCCCTGCCCGTGGCGCCGCCCTGCTAGCCGCGCACCGCCCTGCCCTGAACGTCGCGGCGCCCTGGGGGCCTACACGCGCCCCCCCCCCTCCCGCCGCCCGTCGTGGCGCCTCGGAGGCCCGCGCGTCAGCCCCTCCCGTCGCCCCGTCGCGGCGCCATGGGGGCTCGCGCGCGGCCCCCTCTTCCCGTCGCCCGTCGTGGCGCCCCGGGGGCCCGCGCGTCAGCCCCTCACGTCGCCCCGTCGCGGCGCCCTGGGGGCCCGCGCGCGGCCCCCTCCCTTCGCCCGTCGTGGCGCCCCGGGGGCCCGCGCGTCAGCCCCTCCCGTCGCCCCGTCGCGGCGCCCTGGGGGCCCGCGCGCGGTCCCCTCCCGTCGCCCGTCGAGGCGCCCTCGGGGGCCCGCGCGGCCCCCCCTCCCGTCGCCCGTCGAGGCGCCCTCGGGGGCCCGCGCGCCCCCCCCTCCCGTCGCCCGTCGTGGCGCCCTCGGGGGCCCGCGCGCGCCCTTCCCCCCTGTCGCCCGTCGAGGCGCCCTCGGGGGCCCGCGCGTCTCCCCCTCCCGTCGCCCGTCGAGGCGCTCTCGGGGGCCCGCGCGTCGCCCCCTCCCGTCGCCCGTCGCGGCGCCCTGGGGGCCCGCACGCCGCCCCAACTGCTGCCCGCATTTCTTCCCCACGCCGCCTGCGTTTGGGGTGTGGGGGTGGCGGGTATGGGGGTGGCGGGTATGTGAGCCGTCCTCTGCTCCTCCTCCTCCTCCGTCTCCCACTGCTGCAGCTGCCGCTGAGGGGGGTGGGTGTGTGGGAGCCGAGGGAGTGGCGTTAGGGGGGTGACGTGGGAGTGGAGCTAGGGGTGCAGCAAGGGGTGTGTGAAAGGGGGGTGGGACAGTTGGGGGAGGTTGAGCGGAGGCTGCCGTCTTGTAGTCCGCAGCACCTGATGTCCGGGGCTCTGCCGCTGGTAGCCCAGAGAGCCTGCTGCGTCAGTCGCCCGTGGGTCCGTTGCTCCTGACGCTCAGAGTTAGCCGCAGAGCCAGTTACTCCTGTAGTCCGGGGCCCTTGCTCCGGTAGCCGCCCTGTGCGCCGCTCCTGTTGCCCGTGTGTCTGCAGCTTCAGCCGTCGCCTCCTATCTCCTCTCCTCTCACAGTCCAGCCTCCTCCTCTTCACTTGCCCTTTGTGAATGCCTCTAGCTTTGCTTGTACTGGTGAACCTGCTCTATGACTGCTTGCTGTGCTGATTACACCCCACTTTGACTATGGGGGTGTGTCAGAATGTATTTGCTGTCTAGCCTGCAGTGGGGTACTTTGTATTGAGTACAACCCAATTTAGGGTTTGCTATTTGTATCCCAACTCTTGCTAGTGCAACCCTCTTCTTCCATTTCTCTTTCATGTACCCTAAAACCTAGCTATGGCTCCTAAGTTCTAGCTAGGATTATGACACACCACAGCGGTCACCTGCAGCTCGACCAAGCCTGTCGAGCAGCTCTCCCACTGTGAACGGTCGGCTGCTACTCCCGTACATCCGACCAAGTCGTCGGCGTTGCCCAAGCGAGGGCGAGGCCAACACTCCACTCCCGTTAACAGATTCAGCCAATGAAAAAATTCCTTAGCCAAAAAATTGAACACCATGTGTGTCGTGAAAAAACAATAACTAAGTACTGCGGCTCCCAGAGACAGATGTGGAGCTGTGTGGGGATGGGGGTGTTTTGGCAATCCCAACTCTGCTGTTAAATAAACAAAGTGCTGATACTCGCAGAGACTGTAGAGCGTGCCCTGCGAGTCACAGCACTGGTCCTCGGAAAAATCACCCTGCCATAGATCAAGTTAGGCTAAAAATACCCTGCCACTACCCTGATTTGGAAGAGTGCCCTAAAACGAAAAGAGAGCGCTCCAGCCTAGTGCCCAGTCAATTCCTTGGCTGGTCCCACCATCGGGGAGCTTGCATGACTTTTTGTCATCAACAGGTGAAGTCAAGCTAAACCAAGCTGACGTGGCTTCGCTTGACAATTTCGACTGGACTCGGAAAAGTGTGGTGCCTTGATTCCCCACCATCTTGCTTTCTTGATTCGAATTCAGGGCGGGTCCAATTCGTGACAGCTCAGGTCCTATTTGTCACGGTAACCATATTTTATTGGGTTGTCCACGTCAAATGACGCGTTTGAAATGTACACAGAGGCGCATGCCGCATCCCGTTTGCGGATCGCGTTATTTTCGAAGGAAATGTAGTTTGTCGCCTATTCTGTAACAGCAAAATTCGCAAGAGTAGTCAAGAATCAAAGTTGTCGTTTAGGATCTGGTTACCCACTACGAAGCTTACCGAGATCTCGCAAAATACTGTAATGTGTTGCGGAGATTGGTTTTGTTTGGGCAGGACGGCATATCCGTGTGGTGCCCCGAGAATTATGAACGCATTTGGGTCGAACCTTACTGTGTCCGAACAGTTGCGATTTCAGAACGGAAAACTCTGAGCCGCCCTCATACACATCTCACAAAGGCCAACCCTTCTTGCTGGCAGTCGTTCACATCTCTAGTAGAAGTACTGCCATCCTTAGACAGGTAACTCAACATTCTTTCAGACCTTCAAATCAACATGGAAAGACGCGTCAGCAAAAATCTTCGTGGCACTTCCAGTGGCGGCAAAAATGCCGCGGGAGCGGCATCATCGTGGTTACCAGTTTTGTTCGCCGCGGTACTTCTGGGAGCGCCTCAGACTGAAGCACCAGTTCGTGACCAGGGCGCACCGCACGGCCCCTTGACACAACCCCACGGATGTCACAAGAAATGCAGGAGGCTTTTAATGGGGTACTATATTGCCTATCCACAGGACACGAGGGCGTCGGGACCTCTATTCATGCACGGGAACTACAACTATGAGCGCTACGTTCTGGACCTTCCGGGCGATACTGTCGTATCTTCCACGCCTACATCCTGGGTAATTGTGCACCTACCACTAGGATCCGCCGTCTCGTATTGCATTCCTACTGATTTTCGCAATGTTGCGGATTCTTCCATGACTTTGAGCAACCGCTCGGCGCATTCTTTTATGCGCAGCTTCTGTTAAAACTTGGCGCTGTAAATTCCCCTCTATTCGAGGCAGCCGGAAACTCCAGCAACATCGGAATGCTGCCAGCGCTGTGCCGAGCAGGTTGGCTGCGTGTTCTGGCACCTGAAACCCCCAATGAACGGCCAGCCGTAAGCATTGCCACTGACTTAGTGAAAAAAGTGTGGCTCCAGATTGCAGCCGCGAGGTTGGAGTATCCCCACGCATCAAGCTTTATATTTGCACATCACTACAATGTCCGTTCATATCACGTTCTTGCTCATTCTTGGCCGAGTCAACCGCTGTTCCCACCCGATTTTCCATCCTTTCACCATGTAACTCGTCAACGCCTTTGTTTTCCCTCTCAAAACTAACTTATAACCGTCTCACTTCCCCCCTCCTCTCCTGCGGCTAACTCTCTTATCCCCTCCCCATGACCCTTAGTAGTGCCCAATGCACGATGCTGAGCTCATTGGCAGGCGTCACCGTGACGAACTGGGACCTGGACATTTCACCAACGTTCCTGGGCGGACGGTGCGACCCCCGTGCCTTCACGGATGACGATCCGCATTTCCGGGGCGCAGACGGCACCCGCTACGACTTCAATGGCCTTCTCGACCGCTCCTTCTGCTTGGTTTCCAATCGTCGAATCCACATCAACATGGGAATCAAGGGTTACCAGCCCATCGCGAATCTCCCCGGCACGGCGACATCATTGGATGAAGAGTCGCTCGCTGCAGCGCTGGAAGCAGCTTCCAAAGAGAAGAAGCCACGTCATATCAGGCAGCTTGAGCAGGAGAGGCTGAGCGTGGAGGAACTGGGCGAGCTGGAGAGAATGCGGGCTAATGGGAGCCTGCTGTTGACTGATGAGGTGGTGGCAGCGCTTGAGCGGGAGATGGGTCGTCGCAGCAGCAAGAGTGGATGGGAAGAGGAACAGCATTCGATTCAGTATGCTAAGCACGAGCTGAAGGCGAGGCTTCTTAGAGCGAAGCCGATTCGCAGCTGGATCAGGTAGTGTTACGCTGTGCTTGCTGTAATCCAGTGTTTTTTTCGCTACATGTGGTAACTGTGCGGTGTTTAGCAGCAGTTTTCCCTGGTGGTTTGAAGTCATTACGAGCCCCATGTTCTGCACTCCCCTTCGTTTTTTGTGCCTGCCAGGGAGCTCCACGTGATCTGGCGCGATTCGACTGGCGTGCAACATTCGGCATTTTTTAAGGCTCGAGATGGCAAGGAGCAAGGGAGGGGCAGCAGCGGGTTCATCGACCGACTGGAGCTCGATGGCTCGCCAGTGTACCCGCCTCTATCCACAGGCTCTTTCATCGCTGCCAGCGGCGGGTTCAAGCTGCTTCTGGCGGAAACACGGAGCTGCAAGGGGAAGGATGCGGACGAATTTCATCTCACGATCGACGGTGTGGTGGACATGGGCATCACGGCACGTTTGGCACATCCGCTCATGCAGACGGCTACGGAGGCCCAGGCACATTTCAATGTGTACATCGCCCGGCTCAATGTGAATGGCATTCACGGCGTGCTGGGTCAGACCTTCCGAGCCGAGGAATCCCGCAAGGTGCGCTCGCTGCGGTACCGCCTGCTGACCCGCCTGCTGCGCGAGCCGGTGGAGGTGGAGAGCGAGAGCGGCAGGGGATTCCTGGATGGGTGCACGGAGGACTACATCACCTCGGATATCCGCTCTGCGGATTGCATGTTCGCCGCTGCGTGGCGCAGGGGCGAACACGAGAACAGCGACGGAAGCGACTTTATGTAACAGGGATTGTGACATGGTGCTTCAGTGTCTACCATATATTTGGGGTAGTTTTAGAAACTGCTATCACCTTTTCCTCTGGTCATTTATGCATAGATGAAATAATTCTGAATTGTACAGCTATAATGGCTATAGTGGCATGCAAAAAGTTTTGAGGTTTTCAGGTGATTTGAAATGTTGAACTCTCATATCCCTAGAGTTTTGAATGAACACAACCAAAATAAGTTCATGTGTGTTTGTGGATTGAGCTCCACATGTTATTCCTATGCTTCTGAATATAAAAGGCGTTTGATTTTTACTTTAAGATCTGCACTCATCAATAAGTGGTTTCCACCTCACAAGTTTATTGCTCATCAGCCACTCAAACTTCCTTTCGGATCACTCTCTCCTCGTCCTTCATGTGTCATTAGCCACCACTGACGTTGCCAATGCAATTTGGCGCAGAGCAACAACTTCTCTTAACATAATTGGATCCGCATATGCCAAGAACCTTGACGGCCTCTCTTCCAGCAAGCCACTATCGAATCACGCTCCAGCACCTCTCCGTCCTCTAGCAGCATTACCCTGTGGTCCACCATGAAGTGCAGGTGGCACCACAGTGTCCATTGAAGTGCTCACATTCGGTGTAACTTTGTTCAACACAAGCACATGTGAGAGCATGCAAGGCACTGCAGCTGCCTCAAACCACACTCTAGTACCTTCCCTCAGCTCAGATCGAGCTGATATGGCAATGCCCTCACAGCATACTTGCTTCCGAACTTCCACAACTCCACACCCCCTCACATTCCTCCTCCATTTCCCTTCCCCTAGACTTGCGCCCCACTCTAACTCCCGTGCTCCCCTGACACGGCACTGTGGAGAGTAAGGCTGTACCAGATATTGCAGGAGAATACCACTAGTTCTTGTGACACTAGGGAGAGACCCGAATTGTCACGACGTGATCACTAACCTTCATGCACTTGAAATATTCCATACAGTACCATGGTTAGTGTTGTCTTTTTGCAGCCTGTGCAGGCAAACATCCCATTTAGTTACCTACTTAGATCAAGAAGGTTAGAATTCCCAGCATGAAGAGTAACTCCAAGAGGTACCTCACCACCAACCCCCCTGCTCTCTATCACCTCAGGCAAGCGGCAAGTTTTGCCCACATATGCAGCTTCGATGGGTACAGTGGCGTACGGGGATCTTAAGAGCAAAGAAAGAGAATTTCTGCATGCGAGAGACATGCCGCATGGTGGAGAATGGCATACTGCTAGAGTGGCAAAAGTGGTTCGCTGCTAAAGGTGGGTGTGAGGCAGGTGAACAAGGTTACAAGCTCCCCAGGGCGTGGGAGGGTTGCGAGCATCTTCGGTCATCGGCGCTCGCGAATGAAGAGCGCCCGCTGCACTTCCTGCACATGTGCGGATCCTTTTGCGTTTTTGGGCTGGAAGCGCTCGTTCCGAGCGTTATTCTTCCGCCGGGTCACGTGGCTGCGCTTGTCTGGGTCTATTGCTAAGCTAGCAAGGGCGTGGGAGGGTTGTCAGAATCATCAGTAATCGGCCCTCGCGAATGAAGAGCGCACGCTGCACTTTCTGCACATGTGTGGATCGTTCCGCGTTTTGGGGCTGGAAGCGCTCGTTCCGAGCGTTTTTCTTCCGCCGGCGGCACATGGTTGCGCTTGTCTGAGCCTATTGCCAAGCCAGCAGGGGCGTAGGAGGGTTGCGAGCATCATCGGTCATCGGCGCTCGCGTATGAAGAGTGCCCGCTGCACTTCCTGCACATGTGCAGATCCTTCCGCGTTTTGAGGCTGGAAGCTCGATCCGATCGTATTTCTTCCGTCTGGTCACATGGCTGCGCTTGTCTGGGCCTATTGCCAAGCCAGCAAGGGCGTGGGAGGGTTGCGAGCATCATCGGTCATTCACGTTTGCGAATAAAGAGCGCCTGCTGCACTTCCTACACATGCGCGGATCCTTCCGCGTTTTGAGGCTAGAAGCGCTCGTTCCGAGCGTTTTTCTTCCACCGGGTCACGTCGCTGCACTTGTCTAGGCCTATTGCCAAGCCAGCAAGGGCGTGGGAGGGTTGCGAGCATTATTGGTCATCGGTGCTCACAAATGTAGAGCGCCCGCTGCACTTCCTCCACAAGTGCGGATCCTTGCGCGTTTTGAGGCTGGAATCGCTGGTTCCGAGCATTTTTTGTTCCACCGGGTCACGTGGCTGCACTTGTCTGAGCCTATTGCCAAGCCAGCAAGGGCGTGGGAGGGTTGCGAGCATCATTGGTTATCGGCGCTAACGAATGAAGAGCGACCGCTGCACTTCCTGCACATGTGCGGATCCTTGCGCGTTTTGAGGCTCAAAACGCTCATTCCGAGCATTATTCTTCCACCGGGTCACGTGGATGCGCTTGTCTGGGCCTATTGCCAAGCCACCAAGGGCGTGGGAGGGTTGCAAGCATCATTGGTTATCGCCGCTCGCGAATGAAGAGCGCCCGCTGCACTTCCTGCACATGTGCGGATCCTTGCGCGTTTTGAGGCTGAAAGTGCTCGTTCCAAGCGTTTTTCTTCCACCGGGTCATGTTGTTGTGCTTGTGTGGGCCTATTGCCAAGCCAGCAAGGGCGTGGGAGGGATGCGAGCATCATTGGCCATCGGCGCTCGCGAATGAAGAGAGCCCGCTGCACTTCCTGCACATGTGCGGATCCTTGCGCGTTTTGAGGCTGGAAGCGCTCGTTCCGAGCGATTATCTTTCACCGGGTAACGTTGCTGCGCTTGTCTGGGCCTATTGCCAAGCCAGCAAGGGCGTGGGAGGGTTGCAAGCATCATTGGCCATCGGCGCTCGTGAATGAAGAGCGTCCGCTGCACTTCCTCCACATGTGCGAATCCTTGCGCGTTTTGAGGCTGGAAGCGCTCGTTCCGAGCGTTTTCTTCCACCGAGTCACGTGGATGCTCTTGTCTGGGCCTATTGCCAAGCCAGCAAGGGCGTGTGAGGGTTGCGAGCATCATTAGTCATCGGCGCTCGCGAATGAAGAGCGCCCGCTGCACTTCCTGCACATGTGCGAATCCCTGCGTGTTTTGAGGCTAGAAGCGCTCGTTCCGAGCGATTTTCTTCCACCGGGTCTCGTGGCTGCGCTTTTCTGGGCCTATTGCCAAGCCAGCAAGGGCGTGGGAGGGTTGCAAGCATCATTGGCCATCGGCGCTCGCGAATGAAAAGCGCTCGCTGCACTTCCTCCACATGTGTGGATCCTTGCGCGATTTGAGGCTGGAAGCGCTCATTCCGAGCGTTTTTCTTCCACCGGGTCACGTGGATGCGCTTGTTTGGGCCTATTGCCAAGCCAGCAAGGGCGTGGGAGGGTTGCAAGCATCATTGGTTATCGGCGCTCGCGAATGAAGAGAGCCCGCTGCACTTCCTGCACATGTGCGGATCCTGCGCGTTTTGAGGCAGGAAGCGCTCGTTCAGAGCGTTTTTCTTCCACCGGGTCACGTGGATGCGCTTGTTTGGGCCTATTGCCAAGCCAGCAAGGGCGTGGGAGGGTTGCGAGCATCATTGGCTATCGGCGTTCTCGAATGAAGAGCGCCCGCTGCACTTCCTGCACATGTGCTGATCCTTCTGCGTTTTGAGGCTAGAAGCGCTCGTTCCAAGCGTTGTTCTTCCACCGGGTCACGTGGCTGCGCTTGTGTGGGCCTATTGCCAAGCCAGCAAGGGCGTGGGAGGGTTGTGAGCATCATTGGCCATCGGCGCTCTCGAATGAAGAGCGCCCGCTGCACTTCCTGCACATGTGCGGATCCTTGCGCGTCTTGATGCTGGAAGCGCCCGTTCCGAGCGTTTTTCTTCCACCGGGTCACGTGGCTGCGCTTGTCTGGGCCTATTGCCAAGCCAGCAAGGGCATGGGAGGGTTGCGAGCATCATCAGTCATCGGCGCTCGCAAATGAAGAGCGCCCGCTGCACTTCCTGCACATGTGCGGATGCTTCAGCGTTTTGGGGTTGGAAGCGCTCGTTAAGAGCGTTTTTCTTCCGCCGGGTCACGTGGCTGCGCTTTTCTGGGCCTATTGCCAACCCAGCAAGGGCGTGGGAGGGTTGCGAGCATCTTCGGTCATCGGCGCTCGCGAATGAAGAGCGCCCGCTGCACTTCCTGCACATGTGCGGATCCTTTTGCGTTTTGGGGCTGGAAGCGCTCTTTCCGAGTGTTATTCTTCAGCCGGGTCACGTGGCTGCGCTTGTCTGGGTCTATTGCTAAGCCAGCAAGGGCGTGGGAGGGTTGCCAGCATCATCAGTAATCGGCTCTTGCGAATGAAGAGCGCACGCTGCACTTTCTGCACATGTGTGGATCCTTCCGCGTTTTGGGGCTGGAAGCGCTCGTTCCGAGCGTTTTTCTTCCGCCGGCGGCACATGGTTGCGCTTGTCTGGGCCTATTGCCAAGCCAGCAAGGGCGTAGGAGGGTTGCGAGCATCATCGGTCATCGGCGCTCGCGTATGAAGAGGGCCCGCTGCACTTCCTGCACATGTGCGGATCCTTCCGCGTTTTGAGGCTGGAAGCTCGATCCGATCGTATTTCTTCCGTCTGGTCATGTGGCTGCGCTTGTCTGGGCCTATTGCCAAGCTAGCAAGGGCGTGGGAGGGTTGCGAGCATCATCGGTCATTGACGCTTGCGAATAAAGAGCGCCTACTGCACTTCCCACACATGCGCGGATCCTTCCGCGTTTTGGGGCTGGAAGCGCTTCTTCCGAGCGTTTTTCTTCCGCCGGCGGCACGTGGCTGCACTTGTCTGGGCTTATTGCCAAGCCAGCAAGGGCGTGGGAGGGTTGCGAGCATCATCGGTCATCGGCGCTCGCGAATAAAGAGCACTTGCTGCACTTCCTGCACATGTGTGGATCCTTCCACGTTTTGGGGCTGGATGCGCTCGTTCCGATCGTTTTTCTTCCGTCTCGTCATGTGGCTGCGCTTGTCCGGGCCAATTGCCAAGTTAGCAAGGGTGTGGGAGGGTTGCGAGCATCATCGGTTATTAACGCTCGCGAATAAAGAGCGCCTGCTGC